GTCTCGGTCCCGGCGTTAGTTTCAACAGTGTAGTTACCTTTTTACCCTTACTTTTATTAAAAAAAAATTTACTATTTTCGACTTGGGGAGAAAGAATCTTACACGTACAGAACAAAAGAAGAATATAAGTGAGAAACCTTCCCCTATTCTTCCCTTTCATCTTCTCTACAACGATTGAACACAACATATACCTTTCACAAGCAATTCGAAGAGAACTTGGTGTGGACAAAGGTAAGTTCTCAAATTATCGCTTAATTTAGGGTTGAGATATTTTGGAAGTTTTTATCCCACGCACAATTTGGGTTTAGATCTTCAAGGGTTGGGTTACAGACCTATTTTTAGAGAATTACCAACACACAATTTATGGTTTGGGATTAGTATTCACAATAGAAGCTGTATTTTATATTTCTTGTAACTATATTAGTCATACCAAATAATCTACTTTTGCATTTTAGGTAACACAAACTTCTCAAGGTTTTACTGTTGCCGTAGGACATTCAACCCAAGTACCTACAACTGGTGCAGCAAACTCTAATAGGAATTGAGCTGGAGGGACTGTAAGAAGAGGTAGAGGTAGAAAGAGTATAATGCTTGGAGTGGGAAATTGGAATGGTGTGAGAGATTTTAGACCTCTGGGCAGATTATTTAACTCTCTTCAAATTTCTTAATTTATACTTGAAGGCCTGCAAAGTATTCATTAATTTATTACGAATGTTCCACCACCAAGGCATGAAGGAAGATAAGCATCCGCGGATGGAATACCAGCTCAACAACACTCACGATTGAACACAAGATTTGGGAATGTGCTGTTCCCAAGTCAACCTACTCCAACCAACAATTTCACTTTTACTACTGATAATGGGAATCATTGAAGCTTGTGTAGCTTTATTTTTAGATGATTTTGAATGTTTTTGTTGATATATTTGATATTTGATGATTTGAAATTATTGGATGTTCGCTTTGGTTCTTTCGATAGATTTGGCATGTTTTGCCATTATATTTTGGTACTTTTGCTACTTTTGACACCTTTAGTGATTTTGAACATTGGTTTGGATGATTTCACTTTTACTATTGACTTTGGGGATCATTGAAGCTTGTGTAGGTTTATTTTGAGATGATATTGAAGGTTTTTATTGATATATTTGATGGTTTTGAATTATGTTTTTATATTTTGGATGCCTGTTTTGGTACTTTTGCTACATTTGAACTACCGGAAGACATTTTTAAACCGAGTGATTATAAATTTAAAAAGAAATTAAAATTAATTTCTATAATATAAAAAATTGTTCAGAACTTTTGGGTAAAAAAAAAGTTGGGAACAAAAAATAGGAAGAAGTCGGGATGAAATTGAGTACAAATGAGTGAAGAATGGTGTACACCTTTTTTACACAATAAAGGGGTATTTTGGTCTGAAAATTTCCAAGGGATAATGTAACGAATAGTCAACAACTGAACAATTTTTTAACAGAGATGGACGACTGGGGCTGTTTTGTCGCATTTCATAGCACATACGGTAAATGCGACAGTGTTACAAAGTGTATTTAACTATAATGTTAGTAATAAAGTTGAATTACTAACGTATAACAAGGAAAAAATGCATTATTGAACCTCCAATGAATAAAAATATGGAATGGTGAATGGGAATATAAATACATACCACATGAAGACTGGCCTTGACTTTCTTGATCTGGTCAACTGAGAAGACTATGTTGGTGATTGTGATTGGCCGGAACTGGACTCCATCATCGCCCGATCGTATCGGAGTTTTATCATCTTCAAGTACGATGCTCTTCAAAACACTCCACCCAAAATCACACACACTATCAAAAGCCATTGATAAAATATTATTTTTATTATCATTAGTTTGTATTTTCTGATTCAATAAAGGGAAAGTCAATGGGAGTTGAGGATTATCTGCCCTTTGCAAACAAGAGAGAAGAGCTCCCATTAATGAGTAGCCATCTCCAAGTGAGTGGTGAAGTTTGAAGACAAGATTTTGAGCTGCATTTTTTGTTGGGTAATTTATTATGTGAAATTCCCATAATGCCTTGTTCTCTGGGAATTGTTCTAGGGATATTTTGGACAAATATCCAGACAGGCAATCCTCGTAGAATTCGGGTGATTTTCCATGTGGGAAATTCGGGATTTTGATATGCTCTTGGATATCCACTTCCACCTTTTTCCAATGTTTTTTTCCATTTTTGTCCTTCACCTGTGATTTATTATTTAATTAATCTTTGTTTAATTTATCACCCACTATTTCATAATTTTTTTTTGGTTATAAAGACTTTATTATTCTATTATTAAAAAAAATTTGGGGCATCGATAAAACCTTATAAGTCTACATAAAGTAAAAGTGTATCTCTACAACGGTAATAAAAAGTCCGAGACTCCCCTAACTTTTCCACTATTTCATAAAATTAATCACACTTATACAATTTAAAAAATATATATATATATATATTTATATATATATATATAATTAATACACACAAACACAAACTAATGAAGAAAATGTAGCAATTACCATGAGAGATGAGAAACGAGGGTTGATTGGAAGAAAAACAGTTTTGAGCAACGTGTCAAGCCGGGATTGGTCGATCGGGAATTCTAATTCAAGAATAGCAATTATAGATACTGACATAACAGAGCTGGTGAAGTATTGTCCAGTTGGACTAACTGGTTCTAAAATTTCATTTTCCATTGCATATATAAAAAATAATGATAATAAAATGAAATGGTTTAGTGTGTGTGTGTGTTGTGTGTGTGTGTGAGTGTGTTGTGTGTGTGTTTTTATCTTGCTCAATGAGACACATCTATATATATTGTCAAGTGATGAGTCGTGCATTAAGTTTATTTGTAAGTACTATATTTGTTTGTAAGAAGATGATGAAGAAGGTGGTTGTTGAAATTCATTTATTGATTGCAATAAGACCTCTCTATATTTCTTCTTTTTCTACCTTTTTCTCGCTCCGTATCTAGCCACACATCTGTTCGGCAACCACCAAACCCGTCGGATTCCGGCAATCCACGGCCAGATCCGTAAAATTCCGACAACCCACGGCCTACTCCACCCAGATCCGGCCACCCCCGACGAATTACGGCCAAATCCCGCCTCCAACAGCCTCCGACTCAACATTTTGTATGAAAACCCGGGTCATGGACCGGTTTCCGGGTTCACCGGTTTCAGCCGGTCGGACCGGGTTTTTGACATTTGACCCGGGTTTTTGATTTGCCCGGTTTCAGTTGTTAGACCGGACCGTTTTCATCGCGGGTCGCGGTCGGACCGGTCGGACCGGCCGGTCCGGTCCGATTCTAACAATATTGGTTGAATGTCAGTTTTTTTAATTTTAAATGTTGAGTAGCGCATAAATTGATTTCAGAAAACAAAAAAAAAGGGTCAAAGCGGATAACCGGCGAGAAAAACTAATTTCATAGAAAAAGTTAAATAAAAAAAAGGAAAAATGAGTTTTTTATTCCTGTAAATTTACAAGTTGGGAGTTTTCGTCCATCATGTTTCAAAATCAGAATTTTAGTCGTATAAGTTACAAAATTTGGAAATTTTGGTCCTATAACCTGCTATAACAGGTAATGTGATAAACTTATGGGACTAAAAACTCATTTTGCCGGAAAAGAAAAGATAAAAATAAAAATCAAGAGAAAGAAAAAAGTTGACGTAGCTATCCGCCATTCAAAGTCGGTGAACGGTGCCATAAATAATATTTAAAAAAAGAATCAATACCGATTGGAAGTTAATTTTTTTTCAAATAAATCAAATGCGGTAAACGGTGACGGTGGTAAAAATAGGGATCATTGCTCAAAACTAGGGATGGCAATGGGTACGGGTTTGGCGGGTTTTGGACCCGGAACCGACCCGTTTGGGGCAGGTCTGGGTCAGCTAAATAGTTCTGGGTCGGGTTATGGGTCTTATTGGAACCGACCCGGAACCGACCCGTATATATATATA